TGGAGCTGTGTGAATTGGTCTGATGATTGTGTGAAGAGAAATAGGTACGAAGACGTTACCAACACGTGAGTCGCATACACCTACAAACCTACCAGCACTCAACACGCCCGAACCTTGACGTGCAACCTTTAAATCTATCTAATAACATGTTGCACTGAGAATATGCATTATTGACACAGTGAAATGTCAAACTGATGTCTGACGAGCTAATGTGTAACAAAATGTCAGGTTATTTCCATAGCTCTAGTTGGACTGCTGTTCAAATGTAACTTTTATTTCTAAACGGATTGTAATAATAATAATACTTCAACCTCCGAATAGTCAATAAACCGTCAGTTAAATAGAAAAATAGCAGTAAAAAAATTGAACATTTTGAACAATATTTTTACAAGTCAAGCATTTAAAGTTTTTAAATTTATTTAAATTTTATTTTAAAAATGTAACTTTTATTTTTAAACGGATTGTAATAATAATAATACTTCGACCTCCGAATAATCAATAAATCGTCGGTTAAATAGAAAAATGACAGTATTAAAAATGTACATTTTTTTTACAAGACAAGCATTTAAAGTTTTTAAATTAATTTAAATTATTTTTTCCTTTAAAGTTTTAAATTTACACAGAAGTATTATATATCATTTTTAAATAATTTAGATAATGATTAAGTCGGCGTGGTTAATTTAATTAACTTATATAAAAGGAGGTAATTGAAATTGATGAAATGAAATTGAATTAAAAATGTCATTTTTCAAAATTAGATGCTAGCTAATTTTGAAAAATGACATTTTTCTATTTAATTGACGAAATGTGCCTTTAGGGCTGTTATCCCAAATGGGAAGGGATGAAGTAGCCATGCAATTGGCGTAGTGGTGATCAGAAATGAGTATGATTTTTTGTATCAAAGTAGTATTGTATTGATACAAAGATTTCAAATCATTTCTTTTTTTTTGTAAATATATACGTAATATACTTAGAAAACATTATGTATATATTAGGTATACAGCAAAAATATATCAGTTGTCTAGAACCTATAAAACAAGCTCTGCTTAATGTGGGACTAGATGACGCTGTGTTAATTGACCAGGGTAAATATATATATATATATATATATTTACATGATGTATATTATACGAGCACTTGTTATACAATAAATAAATAAATAAATTTACTTTTCGTATAGTAGGAGGAGATAATTAAAAAAAGGCTTAATCATTGTGTGTTACAACCTTTTGAAACCTGAAAGAACTAATAGCCATTAGGTAACTTTAAAAAAGGTCACATACCTTTATATGGTATCTACAAAGGTCAGGATAGTTTGGAGTTCAAGGTTCAATATTGGAGAAGATGCTGAATGTTTCTATTTTATTGTTTTATTGGCTTACTCTAATAATCTTATTATTAATATTATAAACGCGAAAGTTTTATAACTTTTTTCTGTAAGGACATAATACACATAGAATATACCCAGACGGATATACACACAGGACAGCAATCATACTCATGTATACAAATATTTGTACCGTGAGGAATCGAACCTGCGGCTATAAGAAATGAAGTATTCAAAACCGCTAGACCACCGAGGCCGTCGATATTTATTTATTTCCTAAGATACACGACGACGAATATTTCATGAATTAAAAAAGCCTTCGTTTCATTTTACAAATTACTGCAATTGAGAAAGGATTTATTGAAATTCCCACGAATATAGGTAATAATATCGGTCAAGGTACGTAAAGTGAGTTTAAGTAAGTTTGTATATTGTAAAAAAAACAATTGAATAGTAAATCAGTTTTGGCGTAGGTATCACATACATAAAAACAATCAACTTGAGGATTTTCTAACAATAATATATATAATAAATTCGTAAGTATTATGAATCGTATTATTATTAACTATACGTGTAATAATGGTAGAGCTCACTGTATCATGGGTAACATATAAAAACAAATAAATATTACGAAGTAATAAATTAATTAACGAAAAATTACTATATATGTAGTTAATTTATATGCGGTGAAACTGGCAACGAGAGGTAACCCAGCGAAATGTCTCTACAATTAGAAAAGATCTTGGCCTATATAGATCTATTAGTTTCTATATTATAATGTGTAACTAAAGCTGCACTAGCAGACTCCTGCCAGATTTGTCTGGGCAGAGTGAAAAACACTAGCAGTTAAGGTGAGTGCTAATGTACATATGTCAGTAAAGGAGAATCTATACCCGGGTCACAAGTCCCGGGAGCTGCTCGGAATTTCCCTCTCTGCCACACGTTGGACCCGGCTCCCGCATCGTGAATCTATCTCTCGTCGGAGGTATTATCAGCAGCTGAGCAGCATCATGTACATAAATTATGACTTGCTAATATTTTGCTAAGTATATTTGAATCCAACACGATAGGGATGACTCTACCTTTACGTCTCAGGTTAATTTGATTTGTTATTAGTGTTTCCATCACCGGAGACTCGTCCATACATTTAAATTGGTAAGTAAGTATGTAAGTAATTGGTAAAGATATTTTTTTTTTGATACCAGATTTCTCGTCATTATCTCTGATCAGCGCGACGGTTGACTGGTAGAGGATGCCAACAGGTATTAAGTCCGCCATATGTACAATTTTCTGTATAAAAGAATAAATAAATATATTTAGGTCTAAGTAGAGTTTGTATTATAGAATAAATATCTGTTTTATTTATTTTTCTTTTAAACCACCGGGCCAAAACACTTGTAATTTGAAGTTTTTAGTGTTAATAAAATTGTATGTAGAGATAATCGTATATAATTTCCAGTTTAGAATACTGTAAGCTAGATGGGTCTACTTAAAAACATAATAAATGTATCCCTACGGCAAGGAATCGAAGTTAAATACTAGTTATGACTCAACAGTCAAGCTATTGCTTATGAGTCACTTTGCGAGTATCTCCGCGAGATATGCAGATACGGTAGCGTCGCTTCACTGTCATATTTGTAAGTTATATTTTTTTTATCGTGTATAAAAATCTTTAATAGATCTTCCCCTGCCAGAACAGCATCGAGGGTGTGTGTAGGATTCTTATCCACTAGAAAACCATACGATGTACTTACGAGCACCAATGCTGGAGTTCAGAGTTCGTGTTAGCATTATACCTCAACTCCAGCGGTAAGTAAGGTATTCCAAGCCATACGTTATACAAAGTCATATGCGAGGGTGCTTTTATAAAGATCTGATTATTTTGGAAACTGTATTTCAGTTTATAGGATGTGAGACATTCCAGTGAAATGACTGATATCTTAATACACGGATATGGCAACGCAAGAGGGGTTTTACTGGAAGCAGACGTAATGTAATTCAGTTCATTTATAATATATGGACCACGTAACCATTCTAAATATCCATCAGATCGTGCATCAACTTGTTTACCATTAGTTTTACATAGAACATTACACTAATGAATATAAAGTTTGTATGTGCACAGCAATACAACTTACGACCATCGGATCTATGTGGAATGTACTCTACTGCTAAATACTGATATCACTAAAAAACTCAAAAATGTGTAATCGTTTATTTTCTTTCTTGATTGTAAAAGTATATCTATTTTTAAATAATAATACATGTAGTACAATACATTATACTAACTTTATATCATCATCTGCTTCTTTCTTGTCTCATTTATTTGTGGTCGGCGTAATATGTTTTTCTCTTCCATTCATCTCTGTTCGCAGTCATCTCGTTATTTACTCCCTTTCTTACCATATCGTCTTTCACACAGTCCATCTATCTCTTTTTTGGTCTTCCTCTGCCCTTATAACCATCCACATTTATATGTAACACCTTCTAATCTAACTAACTTCATATTAAACCTAATATTATAAGTAGTCGAATTAGAATGTATATGAAAAAAATTAAAACCAATATCATTATTAATACAACCAATCTATTATTAAATACACACACACATCTGCCCCATATTACGTCACAGATTAAGCTTCTGCTACCAACAGTAACCCTATAACAGTCTTAAGGTCGTCACGCGACGCGGGGGGTCGTCCTACACTGCATAAAAAACATAAACATTTATTAACCGAGCAATCAACATCATCAATCAATAGTGAATTAAGCTGAAGGGCGATGTCAAATTTAGATACTATGGAGTTATTACACTATCATACGAGTATTAATCATTTTATTTATATATTTATTACGTATAATGAAATAAGAAAATTTACTGTTTTTGTGTTAATGTTTCACGTAAAAAGTCTAGGGAAATACAATAAAACTTTCATAATATATGAGTCGATATACTAACGAAGGCTAAATAAAAAATAAAATAAATAGCGTAAGATAAATATAAATATAAGTTAATAAGATAGATGATAAGTGATGCACAATTGACGATTTATGATTAAGTTTCAACGACATAATTCCAATGGTCGCGGGTTCGATTTCTGGCACGGTGCAAACATTTGTATTCTTCAGTATGATAGTCTGGGTGTTTTCTGTGTATATTATGTATATATTTACAAAATATATATCTATGTATTTATATCAATATTCTAATGCCCATAACACTATTATTTATCCCCATGAAAAAACATGTTCCAATGAACAGGGAATATTTCAAATATTTGAAAACAAATTAAAACATTCATTTAGATCTATTACAGACTATATAATATGTCAAAGATACTGGCAGTTCATATTGTGTCGTTATTTAAAAAAAAAAACATTTATATTACTAAAAATATTATAGATCAAATTTCGCGTCTCCTTTTCAGATCCGAACTCAACAACAGATAATCATAAATATCATAAAAAAAGATGCAACGTCCAATCAAACCGCATAAAATGCATTTCACCAAAACCGCAAGACAAAGTAACAAAGAGCGTCGTTACGCAAAAAAATCTATGTTTGAACTTCACATATTTATCGGGAAATGTGGCTTCATTATGAACTAGAATGAATTTTGTAACGCCCAGCGACGTATATAAATGCAAAGGAAGGTCTTCCAACTACATTCGTGGTTTCAACTCCGACCTGACACGACATACCAATATGAAACTGGTGAGTCGATTTTTTTATATACTCGATACCATCGATCGATGATCGATTACGATCAATTGACGAGATAAATGTCAGTTGTGTAACTATCGATTATTTGATTTTATCGATTGTCGAGCATCGACGTGTAATTATAGGGTATACAACAAGTGACTTTATATATTCTTAAACTAACTTAAAAGTTAAAATATTCATAATTAGATTTTATTTTAATACATATGTTACACGAGTTTTAAATAGTCGTTAAAATATAACCGAGTTTGATGATTATTTTTGCTAACGCCAGAGATCACTCAAACAGGCTTAGACAAACGCCTCTGTGACATTTTATTGTGTAAAAAAACTTAATATAAAAGGATATTTTTTTAGCCACGATTGAATCTTTTTAATTATTAAAATTACACAAAATCTAGGTAGATTTGGTAGATACCAATGTTACTAATATAATCATAATAGATTTCACTTGTAATTGAAAAAATATATAATTCTTATACTAACATGAACATTCTGTATTATATTTACATATATTATATTTATATACTACACATTCTGAATAGTATAAAACAAAGTGATTATACTGTCATTCTTTTGTATTTTGAACCAAATTAGTTCATACAATTACTATAATCTTAAAATTTTTATACAATGTATATTGATCAACGCTAATGAAGTCAGAACGCATCTCTAGTTATGAAAAAAATAATATCTAAAGAGAAGAAACAAAGACATTTCTACGAACAATAAATTACATAGAACCTATTGCATAGACCTGATTAAAGATTTTTGTTAACACTAATTAAGAAATTTGTCTATTTGTCTGTCCATTGTTTTAGTTATCTCGTAACAATCTCATTTGTGATTTATTACAATGGTTACAATTAAGCACAGCGAAGTAACCGCGGAGCTTTTCACACCTTTATAGTTTTGCTATATAACATACATATAGTCAATCAAATCATAGGTCTATTATAGACACTTATGATATATCAAATCTGCTGTTAGTTCTGAAAGTAATATGAGTCAATAATAATTAATAAAATACTTATATTATTACTAAATATACAACATACGTGTAGACTATAAAATCAAATCAAAGTATTTTTGTTCATGTAAGTCTATCACAAACATATGATAAGTCAAATCTAACGTCAGTTCTGAAAGTAGTTCGAGCCAAGAATATAAATAATATAATTAACAAACTCCGTCAAATTTTCGCAAATTTTGAACTGTTTTTGATGATTACTTTTAATATCCATATTGGTGGTCGTGTGATTTACATGCTTAAAAACGACTCGTCATAAAACTTCACAAATAAAAATTTCCATATATCTATTATTATATATCAAATCAGTTTCGAAATTCAAATAAAAACGAATACATAATCGGCTAAAAATAGAACAGTTTTTACTTTTTTAAACATAAGTTTTAACAGATTTCAATGTAATGTTCTAAATTCAAATTTTCAGAAACTCTTCAAATTACAAAATCCAATGTCACAAAAGAGTTATTAAAAATTGCACCTACCTTCCAGCTATTCATGTATCATTTGCATAATTATAGAACAATAGATTGTTAGAACTGTGTAGGTGTGACAACCACTGTTTCGTTTCTTACCTAATATTTAGGAAACTTTGTAATAAACGGCTGATATAAGTGTTTTCTTATTACGTACTTATTCCACATTTATATTTCTAGTGAGAACTAGACACTATCTGCTGTGTCATCTTCTATCACATAAGCAAATATATTCTATAATTAAATCCTCGTAAGGTCCACATTTATTTGTCAGGCTTTATTTATATATAACATTTTTAATATAAAATTACTGGCTAGACAGAGCATCAGACCATAGACAAATATTCGATTATGAGTATTTTAAAGTGATGAGATAATTGACAGTTATGACAATAACCTAATAACTTTGTTTGTTGGTAACACTGTTAGTTTGTTAAATGTTTTTTTGGTTGTAGGCTGATATTTTTAATTCTCTGGGAGTATGTAGAGTAACCACGCATGAGTGATATCCCGGGTGTCACATGATAACGTGATATCCGTAGTGCTGTCCATGCATATAGGTGACTGTTACCGTTACCATAAAATTATCGTTGCCGACAGATTGATTGCCATTCCAATCTCAAAAGAATTCTAAAATATTACAAAAAGCAAACATGTGATTAGGTCACTTATTAGTTGTAGGAAATTTACTAAGAATTAAGATGAGGTTTACGTCCTTTTAAAGTAGTTGAAATAAAGTATTATAATTAAAAAGAAAATTCTATTGAATCGAGTGGTCACCTTAATTCTTAATTTAGTCTACATTGATAGTGATAGAAGTAAATAATATAGATTTTATTATAAATAAATTATAACCTCATGGTACAATTTTTTATCATACTATGTTGTTATAGAACTTTATTATAATTGATAAAACATAAACATTTGTCATAAAAAAAAACAAAAATATCATAGCTCCGTTTGATATAGCTCAATGTTCAAAATTCGTTACTATTATTTCACAATGAATTTTTACCTTATTTTTTATTATAATATTATTTTCTTGTCTGTTTCTTCTTTACCGTTCAATGTAGCAACCTTTTTCTTGTTCTTTTTCTACTATATATTTTAATATTACTACAATAGTATATTATTTAATATACAAAAATTACTTATAAAGTATATAAAGTGATTGTAAGTCACTATATCATAATTGTGCAGTCCAACATAAATAAATAAATAAATAAAGTTTATCATCATTACACTCATAGGCAAAGAGGAACATACTGAAAGAAAAAAAAATACATAAAATCTAAATATGACTTTTCCATCATCAGATCCTGATCTCCGCTCTCTTCGGCGTTGCTGCCGCTGGATACGCCGCCAGCTATCCTGAACAATCCAACAGGCCCCAAGCTTCTTTCGAGAAGACCGCCAGAATTCTGGCCTTGGACTCAGACGTGAAAGAGGATTCCTTCAGATACAACTACGAAACTGAGAACGGTATCAAAGCTGAAGAACAAGGTCATGAGGTAAGATGATTTTATATAACCTGAAGTGTAGGTATATTGAATGTCCACTGGATGGAAAGTAAGATGAATCGGTTCAGAGATGTGCTATGAGAATTGTCGACGATCCCGATCTCTCTGGCGGTATCGAGCCTCTTAGTTTGAAGCGAGACTTCACATACCTTTGTGTATTCTTTCGAATATACAATACAGAATACAGTCCTGTATTCTAAACAATTATCCCCACATGCTGGGTCCTAAACGGTCTCAGACAGCGTTTAGGAAGAGCTTCCTCCCGGTATATTTAACTACATTAGATAGTATAATGGGATTTCATGTTTTTTTGCCCATCCGTCCTTTTGTACCCTGCTAATCAGAACACATTTTGTACAATATGTTATCTGACGGGACATATAAGTAAGATAGAGGTATCTGGGTAGATTAAATGAAATATTTAACAAGAACAATGAAAGGATGGATGTAAAAGTATAGGTGGTAAAAAAAAAGTTGAATGGATTATGTGAAAGATGATATGTACGAGTAAGTAGACTAAGTTCAGTTATGACGGTTGATAGGGTTTAGTGGAAGAAGATGACATACTGCGCCGACTCCAAACAATGGGATGGCAAGGCAATATGATAATGAAAGGTATCTGGGCATATAAATGTAATTTTTTTAAAAAGGTGTACTTTAATAAAGAAATGTTTTTAGTTAATCTATCAATCAATATGTTTCTTTATCAATAGAAGTCATAAACAGTCATAGACATTTAAATTAATAGTGCTATTGGTAATTAATAATGTTTTAGACAGGCACACAGTAATTACATGACATTTATATGACTAATTTAATATTGAATTACATAATTCAATAGTCAATTACATAATTCAAAATTGTCATTAAATTATTCTTTCTTGTCACAGTAAAATAGCTGTTATTACATAAATAATGAGGTCTATTACCAATAATTTTGACTGAAAAGGAATAAGTCTAATATGATTGATTGATGAATAATAAAAAATCTGTCTGATCCTGAAAGTGGCATATAAAGAGGTTAATTAAGTTACTTCAACCAGTTTGTTAGTGTCGTTTTTTATATATTTTATTGCATTTTATATTTCCTTTGTTCTGTTTTAAAAATGATACGTAAAAATAAAGAGGATAATGTGGTATGTAAGAGAAAATAAGTAGTACAAAATTATTATAAAAATAATTTCTAGAACGTCAAAATATAATTTATACAATAATAATGTATAAAAATATCCATCAAAACGGTTGCATTCGGCAACAATCGTATATTGATTTACAGAAAATTGAGTTTCCGTATCGAAGAAAGAATTTGTGTATGTATGTGCATGTGTTTACATGTATTTACTTTTAGTATATGTATATTTTTTTTTTTTTGACCTATTGTTTTTATTAATTATATTTGCACCGCCTACAGTTTTTCTCTGCACAGCCTATGGTTGACTGGTAGAAAATGCCTTAAGGCGTTAAGTCCGCCATATGTACTTTTACCTTGGTATTTTGTGCATTAAAGTTATATAAATAAATAAATAAATAAAAATAAATAAATTATGCTCAACAAAACGCAATATTTAATTCTAGGTATACTAATATTATAAACGTAAAAGTCTATTTATTTCGATCAACTGTAAATAAATAACATACAGGTTATTTTTTCACCTCTAAACAGCTGATCGAAAATTATTGAAATTCGACAATAAAATAAAAGGTTATTTTTATAGAAGACAAAGTCACGGGTAACAGCTAGTTTATAATAAATATTTGAAATAGGAGTTAGTTACAAATACAAATTGATACACAAAGAGTTTTGCTATCAGTATTTGAACTCATGACCTTTGTGGTCAATAAGCTAGTGTGGAAAACCACTAGGTCACATCGTTCTCAATAGAATAACCTGGGATATAAGAACACAGTGCCGGATCTGGTTGTGACCTATTAGATATACAATGTACAAGTGACCTATACCTAGATTAGAGGTTAGATCTCCTATCCGACAATCATACGAAAGGGCAGTGACCAAACGCAAAGGTCAAGAGAATTATGCAAAGGAACATCGAGACTTATTGAAACCGTAAAGTTTCCACTCTGACCGTGACTAATTGTGGCCAGGGAGCGACTATTGCAAAAGGTTCGGATCCGTTTATATAAATTATAACGTTTTGTGTGGAAAATTTAGATATATGTTGGGTATTATTGTGAAATCAATCGAATGGAACAAACCTATTAGATTGCTTATAGTTAAATATTATATGTAGTTATATTACAATACAAAACGTATACATTTAAGTTATGGCATTATTGTATTTTTTGTAAGTTCATATTTAGAATAGACTAACTGAAATATAAAAGTTTGAGGTATGTTTATAATATAAAAGTAGTTTATAACTATGTACGAGAATTTAATGAACTTATAAATTAACTAAAAATGATTATGTGGTTATTTTATATGCGGTCAAAGTGGGAGCGAAAAGTATACCAAAATGTGTATATAAAAAATTCCAAATGAATAAGATCATGGTATAAAGCAAATCTTTACATAGTATAAAATGATATCGCTTCCGCTATCTGTTCGCTTAGATCTTTTAAACCACGCAACGGATTTTATTGCAGTTTTAGTAGTAGATAGAGCGATTCAAGAGGAAGGTTTACATATATCTAATAATAAAAAAAACAACATTATAAATATAATGGTTAATATAATATAACTTAAGAATTTTATGTCAACTACCATCAGTTTTAAAAGGAGATCAAATATTAATCCTACAGAGTTATTAAACGTTTCATTATATAGAGTTACTAGCTGTCCCGGCAAACGTTGTTTTGCCTTAAAATAAAAAAAAAATTAGGGGTGGACTACCCGTAACATTTAGGGGGATGAAAAATAGATATTGGCCGATTCTCAAACCTACTCAATACACTCACAAAATTTCATGAGAATCGGTCAGCCGTTTCGGGGGAGTATGGGAATGAAAACTGTGCCACGAGAATTTTATATATAAGATTTATAAAGAATTATAAGATAATTTTAAAATTCATTTTACTGATTGTAAATCTTTATTTAATTGCATATTTTTATAACCATATCTAATAACCATAAAATATATATATGTATCAATTATCTTATATCATTTGCAATGCGGTCTTATTAAAATCTTGCACTCAATTATTTATGAGATGTATACCGGCACGAGACGTAAGTTGTAATTAACTTATAACTCGATACATTGATATTCAAAATTATTAATGTATCCATATACGAATTGCTAAATACAAGATTATCAAGGATTAACTTAGTTACATACGATTAAAGGGTTATAGGTATGTAATAAATATCACATTCCCTTTTACAACATCTTAATAATCATTAATCATCATTCATATTTTAATTAATTTGATTTTATTTAATATAATTTTTGTATGGACATTTAACACAGCGCTATCAAGGCCCACGGTAAGCAGAGCTTGTGTTATGGATGGTAGACAAGTGATACAAATATTTTTTTTATAAATACATACATTATATACATAAAGAACACCTAGACCGATACAAACAACCATACTCATAAATATAAATTTTGGCTCCGTACGAGGAATCAAACCTATGTGCCACCAGTTAGACCACCGAGACCGTCAAATTTTGAAATATATTTTTAGAGCGAACTAAAACGTATGCAAATAAAAATCTGTTGCTAATGAATGTAGAATCATTAGAAAATCATGCTAGCTGCATTCAGAAATGGTTTTAACTGATTTGTTTTAGTTATTTTTGAAATCATTTGATGATGTCATTATATAATTGTTATTAAATAAATAGTTACATTTTTATGAGAAGCGAGAAATATTTAGTTGTACTATAAAGTAAATATACGGTTATATATTATTTAATAGTATATCTATCCGTATTTGGAACCCGGATTTTAAAAACCCCAGTTTAAAAAAAACTTGTTACAACCAACCAACATGTTTTCATCTGAATTATTTTGTTTGCGCGATTTCTTAAATCAATTATGGATTGATTAATTTTTAAATTAATTGATATTACTTCCGATTTTTTTTATATAATACATCATTTAATACATTAACTTTACTTAAGTTATTACGTTTGACCTCCATTCCGTTACAAGTTCAATTCCGCGGATCGAACTTTACAATAATTTAGATCAAGACAATTTGTATTGACCTTGCTCACCTTTTGGATTGTGTAATGTTATTATTGATGTGAATTACAGTAATTTGATAATCATTATTTATGAAATTGAAATCAGTGACGCCTCTTTGGTTATGCGGTTTGAATGTCGGCTAGAGTTCTCAAGTTCTCAGTAGATATACACATACATACATTTAGACAAAACGTTACTATATGTATTCGAATCAGGTAATATTTAACAAGAAATACAATAGAAAAATAATTTTTGAATAACACATAAAAAAATAGAATAAAGAAACTACGTAACATGATTTCTTAATACTTTCTTTAATTATCAAACTTGAGATTCCAATTCAGTATCTACAATATGTCGAAATATATAATATTATAATGTAATTGAATATTCTCACAAAAGATCAACTATAAATTAATATTTCAAAACAACACAATATTATAGACATTTTAACTGCAAAATCACTTGTTAACATTAGTTTTACTGTCTGTATCGCAATTAGATGTAGATAGATATTCGGAATTGTATTTTACGACATTTCAATTCGGATGGCGAGAGATTAATGTTAGATGAGGCTGTCACTTTTGTACAATGGATGGGTGACCATTAAATATATCTCTATATATATAATACTAGATTTAAACACAAACTTGCTGTCCCCAAGTATCGTTTAGAAAAAGTCAATAGGTCTTTTATGGGAATAGGTATTAAAATTTACAACAAAATACCAAAGGATATATTGGAATTGCCCTTAAATAAATTCAAAACAATTGTTAAATCTTATTTACTGAGCAAAGCCTTACTCACTAAATGATTACTTAAATGACGAGCGTGCATGGCAATAGTTGTTCATGCAAGGGATTTTCATTTAATGTTAGACATAGACACCTATATAAATACCCATGCATTGTAAATAAACTGGCTTTAAAAAAAAAAGTAATTCAATTGAGTATTTTGCCAGTTCTGACGTTCATAAGCGGCTAAAATGTCTTACAAGAATAAATGATTTTTGAATTTAAAACACGAAAAGATGCATATTAACGTTACTGAAGAGTGTACAATGGTTTCGAAGTTAAGTTTGAAATGTTTTTGTAAAAATAACTAATAACGTCTTGTATTCTAAAACTAAATGTTGTCTTTAGAAATATTGGTTTGTGTTACAGTGTAAGTAATAGCTCGCTTTATTTTTATTACCCGCTTATTTTTATGTTTCTGTAGTACGATTTTTAGTGGTTTATGTACAGTTTCCTCATCGATTTACTATGAATATTTAGAGGTCTCTTATCACAGTCCCACACTAAATTGTTATGTAAAAATTTCAGTGTTAGTTATTTGAAATCTATTAAAAAATTACTTTAACAATAAATAATGATTACACATCATACATACATATATCATATAATGCCAACTGATTCCAAACTGAGAAGAGTTTGTACTAATGGCATACTACTGATTTACTATAAAATACTCGAGATCAATTCAAAAGAAAATCAAAAAGAGAGATTATTATTATATGATCCGAGAATCAAATCCATGTCGAAAGTTGTCTTAACACTACACTAACCAAAATCAAAAGTCAAGCAACATTTCCTCATTCTACATTTGTAAATAATAGTTATGTAGGTAGAACGGTTCCATTGCTGACAATGCATCATATCCAGTTCACCTCTGCCTGCTCTTCTTGGAAACGATAAGTTATGGTTATTTTGTCATGATGGTATAACTGATATCATGCTCATCTTATTATTTCCCACTGGTGTACTGCCAGCATATACCGCTAGCGCTGACAGGTGTATCGTATTAATCGATAAAAATGCCATTTTATAGTGTATAATCTCGTACTCAATTTCCATCATTGAAATTTCCAGGCTGACGGCATCGAGGCTCAAGGTGGCTTCCAGTACACCGGTGATGATGGCCAGGTCTACTCCATCAGTTATGCAGCTGGGCAGGGTGGATTCCAACCTCAGGGTGCACACATCCCTACTGCCCCTCCTACTCCTGAGGCCATCTTGAAGGCGCTGGAGCAGAACGCCCGTGATGAGGCTGCCGGTATTATTGACGATGGTAAGTTTAAAATAATACTTTAGTACCCTTATTTATACGCCAATTTGCATACTTAACTGTCTAGTGATGGAAACACCGTTAACAAATCAAATTAATCTCACAGAAGGGAAACATACATTCTTGAATTTGAATAATCTAAGCAAAGTTTTACATTTTACTTTCGCACCGCTAAGACAGGGAATTCATCTCCACACTCTGGAACTTTAGTGGTCTTGGACAGAGGAGCTTACTCCTGCGTACACTTCAATTATGGAATGAACTACCTGCCGCGGTTTTCTCGAGACACTACTGCATGGTGTCTTATATGAAGGGAATTAAGGTTTCTTAAGAGTCGACAACGTGCTTTTGATACCTCTAGTATTTCTGGCGTCCATAGGCTACGGTACTGTATGCTGGATTGCCAACATCGTAGTATAAAAAGTATTGGAACATCATTTTTTGGAAATGCCTCCGTCTACCCCATTTAGGATAGTCGTGATGGTATATTAATATTATCCATTTCTTTTGTTTTGTTAATTCTAATATTAAAGTGTAATAATATGTCTAAATTATATAAAACTAGCGACTCGATCCGGGTTTGCACGGGTCCATTATACCTTCCTCTCGAATTACTTATTGTTGAAAACTGCATTAAAATCCGTTGCGTTGTTTAAAAGCTATAATCGTCCAGACTGCGTTAGTATCTTTATTTTATACCTCTTCTTTTACCTCTATCTCTCTTTTGTGCGGGGTCGGCCCTCCCAATTTTGCGACATTTCAGGACAATCCGTCCTGAGTTAATGGGCCGGGCAATTTTTCCACAGCGATAATCTTACTCATGCTGGTTCACCAGGTGACTGGAGGACGTCCTCTCCTCTTTTGCGTTCGGGTAGTCTTAAGGCTTTTTTGACCACATAATCCTCGTCACTTTCCATTACATGGCCATACCACTATCTTTGTTTTATAACTTTGTAAATATAATTACTATATGAATCTAGTTGAGATGCAAAGTAATTCATTGCAATTTTATCATTCCTGCATACATAATCGCTAATTTAAACCAACCGGTGTTCTCACGATGCATGATAAACTACTTTGAGTTATTTGCCCACACATTTTCACAGTTGGCCCGCCCTATTGCAATATACTAGATGACTCCTATTCATCGCAAATGTCAAGCCATACAGATATAAATTTCGTAAATGGTCTAATCTCAGCCGCAGTTGTAACAAAACTAAGTTGTCAAGTATTTTCTCAAAATATTCTATTGCTGTTGGCCACAGCTGGCTTTTACAGCTTCACCGAACGATAGGCTGAGAGCTGATGTCACTCAAAACTCGCGGCAGGACTTACGAAGCGGAAGATGGCCAACTTCTGTCTGACAGATATGACTTTAGTCTGAGGCACCGTTAGGAGCTCGAATCTCGACTCAGGTCGTCGTAATTTCGATCCCAGTCTGACGGGGAATCGATCGGAGAGGATGTTGTCTAGTGAAAATTGAAAATATCTATAGAGAGAATAGAAACACAAGCATTCTAAATTTAGAAGAGTGTAAATTAATGTAAATGTAGGCAAAAATTTATTTTAGAGCCTGTTGACTTTGAACTATTTCGATTCAACAGTGGGATAAGTAGCAAAATTACGGTACAGAGGTATAAGATCTAGGTCCTCAGGAATAGCAATACACGAGAGGAGCATATCAATGCAGCTTTCAAATCAAGCTGCTTGGGTATAAAATAGGTGGGAAACATGACCTTGACTTTGTATAAAATCTATCCCAGTAAAGTAACAGTAAAATAGTCGCAATACCTCGAACTAATTTAGTTTTATATAACAATGCGGTAGGCATTTTCTTTCTTTCCTGTTGAAAATAAGATTTTCTGTCGATGATAAGAAAATTAAACATTTATTATATATTCAGTGTTGAAATAATTTATGTGTCCAACTATACCTTAAACACACTGCACTGACCTTTGCGATGTTTCACAATGACCTCTCACTCTGATTCCGAAGCTTGGGAAACTGGGCACTAGCCTTACCATACTCCACATTTCAACCTAAAAATAATAGTAACAGTGTCCAAATTTCTACAACAAATTTAATTTGTCTAGAACAATCTTGGGAAGATCTAGAACCTAAATATCAAAAGATTTATAACTATCCTTATCGTGGAGGAAATACAGTTGTATTTCGTGTAAATAGACAATAATCTCAACTATTTTGAGGTTGATGTAGTTAATAACAATGTTGTCAAACAATGGTCCGTAATAATGGAAGATATTAAAGTCGCTTTACAATAGGTCATATCATAAGTAAACGCTATTTGGTATACTTAACAATGGGAATTTCGCAAATATGGAAATTTTTAGGATAACAAACAACTTAATGAATTCAACAACAATTTTATTTAAACTATTTTTTGTTAATAATACTAATAACATAACAATATTGTATGTATTATTTAATAGGATATCTATTATTTACCATTTTTATAAGCACTCAATATATTGATATTGTTACAAGTGACTTGTTACTGTGAATATGTCGTTATAATTACAATATAATTATAAAACAGTAAAAAGTTCGATTTCAATTATTAGTAAAGATTGTCTAATAGTCTAAAGTTCAAGAGAATGATAAAATTCACTAGACTGTGTTGGGATTTTCTACCAGCTCTACAGAAAATTACTAAAGCTACTAAAAAGCTAGAAAACTACTAACTAAGCAGAAAACTATATATTCTAGTTAAATTCTTAATGCAAATATCATACAGCACATGTCAAAAAAAATTACAGTAACCGGTCAACTGCAAAACACATCAAAGAATTTTTAAATATTAACTATAAACCTCTACATTAATTTTATATTGTTTATTTTTTTATTGCACCAGGAGTAAATTAAAAAAAACCTTTGCTAATGATGAATCAGTCACGAGCAATTTTAATCTTCACTCATTTTATCTATTTCTGATATCGTGATATACATATATCTAATACAGTGATTTAATTTTTTTTTGTTGTAACTTCCAGGACAATACAACCCCGGTAAATATGGAGACGCTGGAGTCGTTCAACAACAATACGCGAGACCACAAGCTTCAGCTGGTTTCAGACAACCCTACAAATACTAACCGCCTTGTAAATATACCAACATTTAGTCTTAAATCTACTTGTATTGCTCACATAATAATAGAATAATAAAAAGTGATATCAATCGTCACATTAATTACACACACAAACAAAAGATTGTTCTGATTTGTAAATAATCTGTGTCATGTAAATAACACACCAACGTCGCTGTAATTCTATTGGTTGGTGGGATATAAATTGTTAAGGCTCTGTTTGAATACAGTTCTATTATATGTGATCAATAATTTAGTATTGTTTATGTATACGATGCAATTGAGTCTTGATTATGAATGTATTGTATTATATTAGAGGAAAACAGCTTGAATTGTATAATATATAAGTGAGGCGTTTAAATATTGAACAAGAAAATTTGAGGCTCATGCTTTTGACTCATTTCTACAGATACTTTTCGTAGATATTATAATATATAATGTCGAAAGACTGTGTCAAAAATTTGCCATTGAAAATGCCACTGTAGCGCTAAGAAACTTTTCTTTTTTATTAACCTAAAGAGCTGAATTTGTGATATGATTATGCAGTTTGATACGGAATAGTGTTAGTAGGGCCCGAGAATATATTCTTATATTGTTATAGTTATAACTGATGGAAACATTCTACAAGATGGAATTATTTATTCTTTTAATAAAAGATATCAATATTTTTACAACATTTTTTTATTTATTTATTCAAATATCAAATATTTATATTCTACTAGATGTCCCGGCAAACGTTGTTTTGCCTTGAAATAAAAAAAAATTTAGGGATGAAAAATAGATGTTGGCCGATTCTCAGACCTACTCAATATGCTCACAAAAATTCATGAGAATCGGTCAAGCCGTTTCGGAGGAGTATGTGAATGAAAACTGTGTCACGAGAATTTTATATATAAGATTTATTTTTTAACTCTATTTAAAATAGAGAGGAATATCATTTCGTCTAGTGCGTATTATGATGCATCTTCTAACTTTTTATCTTTATAGTATTTATGATTATTTTTTTTAATTGAAACATTTTAATAATTAGTGCGTTTTCTATGATTTTAAATCGTCTTGCTCTAAAGCCTATTATTGCTGATTTTTCATTTCTATTATGTTTGATCAATGTTATCTGTGGTTTGATCTAACAGTTACTAAAAGTAGTACAAATGGCTATAACATTACAGGTAGTTGAAAGACCAAAATAGTACTAAACTAATTTATGAATGCTAAACTTATGTATATTTTTTTCATAATTGTTAGTTTTATAATGTAGTTATTGTTGCTCGCTAGAAAGAGATTACGTGTACTATACACTTTGATACGAGTTCATAAATATATAACTAAAAATGTTTACAACGTAAATAGAAGACGGCGCTACAAGTTTGTTACTATTTTCCAACTAAACATCAGGACTGATCTTAATGAAATTTGGTGAAAAGATATTCTGAATGACGACTACAATATAGCCTGTTTTTGTCTAAAAAATTCAAGTCAAGTTAGGTGTAATAGTTATATAGAAATTATAGTGCAAAGTAACGTTTCGATAACTTGTGAAGGAAAAGTTATGTGCACCTACATAATGGTTCAACCACGAGTTAGAAAGTGATCCAGAAATTTTTATATGTATGTGGGAATATACCCACAATATAAAATAAATATTAAGATGTAGGTATTCTTTAGTATTCGTTCTACATCTTTAGAGTCTTACGTCTCGCCTCTTCAAAGCACAATAGCAATACTTTCAAATCACAATAGCAATACTTTCTATTATTACAGTAAATATAAAGGTATTTTATTTCGTTATTCCAAAAATTCATTATAAATCTGATGTCTTGTATATTTTTTGAATTCATTTACTGTCTTGGATTGTTCATGCTAAAGATAGGTCCTTTATTTATTTATTTTATTTATTTTAATTTTAATTCGGATTACATCCATATTGTGTTAGTAAAAAACTTATAAAACTATGTTAGTAACTTATAATACATACAGTAAATATAAATATATCTGTATCCACGTATTTTTATCCATTCTCTGTTATTCCAAAAGGATTCATTATAAATCTGATGTCTTGTATATTTTTTCTCTGAATTCCCATTATTATACTGTATACGAAGAGCGTGTCTTGGATTGTTCATGACAATACAGATAGGTCCTTTTTTATGGTGATAATCAAGATTTTCAATTATGTGTAATTCTAAAACAAACTTGTTTAAAGAATATCTGATTAGTGTCAAACGTTAATATTAGTCTTATCTTATAGACAGATAGACATCGAGTTTAATTAGTTATTGCATTTTTTTTAACTACTCTAATTCTGTTGGCCGCAGCTGGCCTTTACAGCTTCACTGGACGATAGGGGGCGAGTGCAGATGGCACTCCAAACCCGCGGAAGGACTTATAGAGCGGTTGAAGGCCAACTCCCGCCTGATGGATACGACTTTAGTCTGAGTGCACCGCTAGGGGTTCGAACCTCGGATCAGACTGTCGTAATTTCTTCGTTTGAATTGGACTGAGGATCAATCGGAGGGGTAATTTAGTAGGGCATTATATAGAGAAGCATAAGGGTATATACACCCTTAATATGTAATGATTAATTAGATATTACAGGTAGGATACGCTTTATATATTGCAATAAAAATAGTAATGACCTCAAAGTTGAAACCTCATCAGAGAAATATTGCAATACAACCACCGTAATGATGATAATGACGTCTTGTGTAACGTAATGAGTATAGTAAATTAAATTGCGGCCTTGACTTATAAACATTATAGTAAATATGACATAAATATACTCAAGTTAGTTAGTGAAAGATTTATTTTTAAGGATGATAATGGAATTGTTGTACTAAATATTCCGTTTATATGATTGTAAACAGCCGTGAAATAGTTTAAAATAGTATTTAATAAATAAACTAATTGAGAATCTTTTACTAACTCACACTTGGGGGGAAGTGAATTGTCAGTGATGTATATAGGAGGTAGATTAATAACCAATAGGGTTATTAATCTACCTCCTAGTAATATACAGGTTGACCTAAACGCGGTCCCCCTGGATGTACCTGACCATCCTGTTAAATTCTCGGTGAATTTGCCACGATGGGCATTCTCATTCTCATCTTATCATCCTCCACTGGTGCCCCGCCAGTGTATACCGTAAGCGCAAGCGTTATTATTAACTAGCTGTACCCACGACTTCGTCTACGTGGAATTTAACTTTGTTTTCTAAAATAAAAGTAGCCTAAGTTATTCTTTATTAAATCAACTACCTCCCAATAAAAGTCCCGTCAAAATCGGTCCAGCCATTTTAGTGATTATCCGGAACAAACAGACAGACAAAAATGGTAAAAAAATTTTTTGGTGTATCGTATTTATATATATATGCATGTAGTAAAAAACGGTTATTTCAATATTACAAACAGACACTCTAATTTTATTTATATGTATAGAAAAAATATTACTAGCCATTAAATCATAGACAAGTATTTTTTTTCAAAATCGTTTAATTTTTCATTGTCATTATAAAAAAGTATTATTTAACTTAATTAATTAATCTACGTAATAATATTATGTACATTAGGTATAATTATATTGAAAAGATTGCCTTGAAAAGATTTCAGCAATAAGGCTGCCTTATTGTAACTGTACATGTCTTCTCTCTTCTCTTTTATCTTTTCTCTTCTACATTTATTTCTCTTCTTCTCTAATACATTGCTGTCTTTTCTTTGCCGTATATTTTATTTTCTACTAGCTACTCGCGCCGGCTTCGCATGGGCACGCAAATCCGTTGCGTAGTTTTAAAGATTTAAGCATACATAGGGACGGACGGACAGCGACAGCGACTTTATTTTATACTATGTAATGATCTATTCTATTAATATCTGTAACCGGAGTTAGCATTAAAATTTCCTTGATGACTCGAAGTGGCCACATCAGAGCCTGATTGTCCAGGTCGGTTTTGTCCACCTCCATGAACATCCGGGCGGTATTGTCCTGAAAAATATTGATCTAGTTACTAAAGAAATAAGGTCTTAAATTGTTATTAAAAAAAATTTATATCTATAGAAAAAAATATCTATAATAATGTAACTTATTATAATGTGATTTATTTTAACCAAATTACTCTGTACAATTCGTTTCACCTACAATATATTCGACAGGCTCGTTAGTCTAGTTAGTTAGTTAGTCTAGGGGTTTAGCTCACTGCTTTATTTTTGGTGGTCGTGGGTTCGATTTCTCATACGATACATTGTTTGTTTGTGTTTCAAACAGTTGTCTAGTACCCATAACATACTTTAATTTAATAATTTCTACTTAGCTTGGGACAACATGATGTTGTGTAAATTATCCAGATTCACAATTAGGTACTGTAAACTTTTCTTAACCTATATACATACAAGCTTTATTACATACTAGCTGAACCGCGTAACTTCGTCTGCATCACACTTATCATATTTCGCTCAATTTACATAAATAAATAATCTCTGTAAATTCACACAGCGCCATCTAGACCCAAATTAAGCACCTAAAGCTTGTGTTAGGTACTGACAACTGATACAAATACATAGATATGTTTTTTTTTCGTAAATATATACATATTATACATAGAAGAACACCCAGATCGATACAAACAATCATACTCAAAAATACTAATATTTGTGCCGTGCGAGGAATCGAACCCGCGACCATCGGACGTAAAGCGGTGTGTCTAGCGCACCTCGGGTCGCTAGACCACCGAGGTCGTCAAAGCAATTTACATAATATCTTTTTAACTTATAGTCTATATGTGATTCTGATATATATTACTGTAAAGTTTCATCAAAATCTGTTCAGTAGTTTTTGCGTGAAAGAGTAACAAACATCCATTCATACTCACAAACTTTTGTAGTTAATATTATTAGGATTATTAAATACACGAATAATGGCCCAGATGAGAAGCTCACTGCGGAAGATATCGTAGCATTTAATAGAGGCTTTATAGATATTTTCTTACCATCGTCAAATATTCCAGCGGCTTCATCTTTTTCGTTCTGCTCGAGAGCATCCAATATAGCCTGTGGAGGTGGTGGAGGTACAGGCAGATGATCACCTTGAGGTCTAAAACCATCTTCTCCAGCTGTAAATGTTACTGAGTATGTGTTTCCATCATCTCCTATGTAGGAGAAACCTCCTTGACTTTGATTAGCATTTCCATTCTCTTCTGCCTTGATGCCGTTAGAAGTCTCATAGGTGTAGTAGAATCCTAGAAGATATATTTTTTATTGTGTCAGATTATTATCATTATCATTACGTAGTATAAAACAAAGTCGATGTCGCTGTCTGTCCGTCTCTATGTATGCTTAAATCTTTAAAACTACACAGCGGTTTTTTTAATAGACAAAGTGATTCAAGAGGATTGTTTATATATATAATTGTTTGGGAAACAACCAAAATGTTAGATTCAACGTACCTGATTTGGTTCTGCGGATTGTTTATATATATACAGTTCTAATTTATTTTAATTCACAACAAATGCGCGCGCGCGTCAAGGCACGGTCCGTTTACTCGGTGAGGAGGGGAAGGCAAAGCGCGGGAACACAAACTAACGGACTCTAATATAATAATCTGTGCTTACGATGATAACGGGTAGATATTGAACAATAATACATGTACACCCGAGCGAAGCTTGAGCGAGTAGCTAGTAAATCTAAATCAATGCCTTTGATTTTGAGTTTAAATGGATGATGAATATATTCATTTTGAACCCTATCATTCAGTTCTGGCTCAATTTAAATTTCATCACCACATCACATCTTAGTCCTTTGTAACGGGAACGTACATAGAATCACGATTGTCATAATGTAATGTGATGTATCTTGGACTATGTTTTCCGCATTTAGCCTCTTACTTGGGCCCATATGCGTGTTATGATAACATAATGTCCGTAGTACCAATCATGTAGGTGACGTTATTTCTTGCCCTTCTAATTACATAAAAAATGCCTAAGAACAGGCTACTCAACTGAAAGTGTAGCCATCAAAGAAACTTCTACAAATTATGTCTTAAGTTCTTTTATATAATACAGAAGCTAAAAGTTAAAGGTATAATGTATAAAAGACATCTATCACATTAGTAAAATTAACTCCGAAAGCAGTTCTAAAATTTACAAATTTAAAATTTAGTTTTGAAATTTACAAAATAAAAATCATCACAATATAATACATAAAATATACATAAAAGTGTTCTGTGGTTCACTTAAAAAAATACAGATGAACATCGTTGTTATGAAAGCAAATTAATTAATACAATCAAATTAAATAGCATCTATGTTAGAGGACCTATCAATAATTTTCGGCGTTTCTTTATACATCTGTATATATACTGTGCATTTTCTGCCGCTTATATCACAATAATAAAGTGTTGTTGCTATTCTGAGCAATTGTTCGGAAAAATACCAGCTGCAGAGTTTCACCATCGTACCACACCAGAAACTAAAATACCATCCTGATCATGTGGATGAATGGAAATCCTTTACCATGAGTTTATTTAGAAACTTTTTGCCACGCACAACCACATAGTGGAATCACCTTGTACCTATTTATTTCCGAACCGATACGATATTGAAACCTTTAAGAAAAGAGCTTATTCCTTCTTAAAAGATGGTCAACGCACTTGCAATTCCCCTGGTGTTGCGCGTGCTCATGAGCTGTAATCACATACCATCAGGTGAGCTGCAAGCTCGTTTGTCCCTGCTATAAAAAATATCTCTGCATATAATACTCTCTACGGTCTAGTTATAAACTAAGCAATTATTATACTATGGGTAATACGACTATATAACTTGTAACTAACCATTTTCATTTATTTCCTGTTCCTGTTTAATTATCTGTGCATTTTTGTCCTGTTCTTGTTGGGGCCTACTGTTACCATTATTACTTGCACCACCTGTATTTTGTAAATTTTGACTGGACAAAGCCTGTTGATTGCCGCCATTTTGTGGAAGGTAAATTTTTGGTAACTGAGCTGCAGAGCTGACAGATAAAATGACTGCGACGATTAGCTGCAAAAGATCATATTAATAATTTTTTTTATTTATAAATGTCGTATGAACTTCAAAGAGAGAACTTAACTTATTTACATAAATATAATACAATATCTATGTAAATAAGTTAAGTTCTCTCTATGAATGACCTACCATAGACATATAATATTTGTTTATTTATTGGCACAATGACTGACCTTGACACACGGGAGCATGTCAAAGCCAAGTTCAAGTAATAGAACTAGCGAGCAGCACCGTGTGTAGTTTTACACAAACCATCTGGTGCCACTTTTGACCCCCTCATAACTCAAAAACTCTTTCACATAAACCTGTCAAATTTGGTACATATATTGAGACTTGCGAGATAAATATGTGTTCCATATCATTTACTGGAAGCCATAAGAATTATATTTAATTATAAAGTTTTTGTTCGAATTTGACATTTGACACCACGCGATACAATTTTTTTTATTGTTGTGGTAAAATAATTATAATTATAATAAATATTATTTATAATTAAGTTTACTATTATCTAAGTTTATTTGAATAAATATGATTATATTCTGAACAAAATCTAAAATTATCTGTACCAACGTTATGCGATATATTTACTCAATAGTATATAGTGATCAAATTTTGATAAATGTTCTTACAATTGATAGTCTTTGTTTCCACAAAATTAATATAGGATCTGCGAGTTTCACCCGCGGGAAATTTATAGCCTATATGTTATTCTGATGTATAAGCTACGTTGCAGTAAAGTTCTATCAAAATCCGTTCAGTAGGTTTTGCGTGAAAGAGTAACAAACATCCATCCATACTCATAAACTTTGCGTTTATAATAATAATAAGATATAGGATTACATATGTATATATATATATATATATAAACTTACCAATTTCATCTTGTATTTTTTTTTAATTTTCTATCTACTTGGTATAAATAGATGTTTATATATATTTGAAATTCAACTTGTGAATGTGCAAATAGGTACTGTGATAATAAGGTGTTACCAACAACTTTTATACCACACAAAAACATTGAGAAAACAGTTAAGAAGCATCTTTATAGGGTGACATTGGAAATTGAGGACCTTGATTTGTTAATTGTTCTGCATTCTTAATAAAATGCCTAGCACTTTCTACATCTTTTAAATTTTATTACAATGCTGATAGAGTTTAATTTTGAATATCTATTTATTATTTGACGTTATACATTAAAAAGATGATAAATTTCATATTTAAGAAGTATTTATCGAAAGGATAAACATTTTGTAAAATACCACGAGAGATGAATATCTTTATAATTATTGGGCTATACCGTATAAGAATTACATTTTTACTAACTCTCTGGTGATGCAAACACCGATAACAAACCAAATTACTTCAAGAAACTACGATAAGTATACCTCATGCCATATTCTATACAAATATATTCAGCTAGATGTGGCTCTGACTACCTCACCATAGTCAATTAAGTATTTTTTTTTATTAATAAGTAATATTGTGTTTTTTTTTAAGGAATTGAACATACGGCTATTGAAACTAAACAGTCAAAGTATCCGTTATACTCGACTTATATAGTAAAATCAATATTACGGAAGTTATAAACACTACTTAGTAGAAGTCATTAACCTTTACTTAACCGCAATTATAACAAAGTAAACTATCATCAAAACACTGATACGATCGTAATGGTCAACAAACGCACAAAAAAACAATTAAACGCGTCGTCGGAACGATTAAAAGAACGAACTTGACATGACCCATCTCACGAACCTACCGAAGGTCTCCGGTCAAGGTCTCGAACCCTGCGACGTGCAGCAAAGAACGCAGTTTGCCATCGAATTGAGGAAATCACATATGAGGTAGTTTGATTAGATAAAATTTTGCACAACACAATTCTAAGCATTGAGGATATTTTCACTGGATGTACGGATATATATATATATATATGTAACAAATAATATTGAATAAAAATGAATTTACTTCGACATCATCATCTGCTTTTTTCTTATCCTACTTATTTTGGGTCGACGTATTATATTAGTTGTGATTTATGTTTGCAGTTTTTGTTTTTACTCCATATATTTTATTTTTCGTAGATAATAAAAAACACAGAGTATAGATGTAATTTTAATCTAATTTCAAAATACATATGGGGGATTTTATAGCACACGGCATGACCATATTGGAATAGTTGGCCCATGGCTGATTAACCATGGGTATTGCTGGCAGTTTGTCCACTATTCATATTATAAATGTTGTATTATTATAATATCTTTATTTTTTATTTGCCACTTTGGACTACTTCTCTTCAGCCCTCTTGGGAATTATATACATTTCTTACAGTAATTTATATTTTTAATAATGGCTATTGTATTCCCGTTCCAGGTGGTACAGAGAATATATATTAGCTACGCAAATAGAAATATAAGAAAGTAATCAACATACCAAACTCGACCAGGGATAGAGGCAGGCTATCAGCCACTTGGTGGAACAATAATAATAATACATAATAATAATAATATTTCAGGACAATTCACACAGCGCCATCTAGTCCCAAGCTAAGCAGAGCTTGTGTTATGGGTACTAGACAACCAATTTAAATACATAAACATTCTACATAAAAAAAAACCGATACAAACAATCATAATTATTAATACAAATAGGTATTTATACCGCGCGAGGAATCGAACCCGCGACCATTGGATAGTAAAGCGGAGTGCGAAACCACTAGACTACCGAGGCTGTCGATAATAATAATAAGATATAGGTATATAGTAATCATATTAAGAAGATATAAAGAAATTGGGGGATTTAGACTTGTCAGATGTTAAGACCTATAACACTGCGACCTGTATAGATCTATTGTGCTCGCCCTTATTCAAAGTTCGCTAGACCCGTGAGGGACAAGAACTGAAGGATATTCTTAGGAGTGAGGGTTTTATCTCCTCAGGATATAGTACTTTCCAAAGGAGATATAGTCGTTTATGCATGAGAGGACCACAACCACATAGGATGTGTAGTGGCGTTTCCTATTCTGCTTGGCAAAATCTACAAATTTATTACCTAATAATAATAATAATCTCAAGACAATTCACACAGCGTCATCTAAACCCAAGTTAAGCTAGCTAAAGCTTGTGTTATGGGTACTAGGCAACTGATACAAATACATAGATATATATTTTTTTCGTAAATACATACATATTGTTCCGTATTCCGAACCTCCTTAGTCTAAGCAGGTTGTATCACCGGCTTGCTTACTGGAGCAAAGGGCGCTCGGTAATACTGGCCACATATAAAAACATGTGGCCACTTAAATTTCGAGAAATAATAAATAAAACAATTTAAAATAAGAATAGAGAACTGGAATTAAAAGGACGCTCCGTATTTTTACCTATATAAAACAAGATAATTAATGAGTTATTTAACACAATATAATTGTTTTTGACGAAAATATATCTTCTAGAGTGCGTGGCCACTAAACAGTACTACACATCGGGACGTTCCTGAGCAAAGGTGAGTAAGTTTGGTGTTACATTGCTTACTTTGGGGTGTTCGGAGTGTGGAAGACGTTCTTCCAGGTCGAAATCGTATTTTTACTTTCTTTTCCATTAATTATTTTCTTTTCAATAAATACAGTCCACTCTCTCTTTTATATATTAATTTATAAGGATTCGTAATCCAAAACATATTATACATAGAAAATACCCAGACCGACACAAACAATCATATTCATGAATACAAATGTTTGTGCCGTGCGAGGAATCGAACCCGCGACCATCGGACGTAAAACAGTGTGCTAAACCACTAGACCACCGAGGTCGTCTAATTTCGTGCTTATTCAGTTTGCACTATTCAGTGAGGGCCCTAGTCCTGATGCATATATTGTTTTTATTTAATAGTAGTAGTCTATTGGAATAGACTACAATTGGGAACAAGCTTACTACTCAGACAACGCAGAATAGAGTACTCTAGCGCAAATGTACTGAGGCACCCGTCCCTAGATAAAATGGGAACATCGCTCATCGGTTGAACAAAGAAGACTACTAATACTATAATAAAAAATATACGTTGATCCAGACATTTTTTTTACATATTTTTTGTACCAAATCGATGAATATTTAATGGAAAATATTAAAATCAGTCGCTGGCCAGGTGTTTATCAACCTGATAAAAAATCAATATCTAGATACTACCGTAACTAAATTTTAATAGCTTCATTTTAATTGTTCACGTGATGCCGCACTATTACGTCGAACTCCAGTTTTGTGAATTAATTATTTTAATATAATTATTTTAACAAATAAATAACAAAGTAAAATAACATAGCTCCCTCTAGTGTAATAATTATTACTAATTCAAAAGTGAGTTTGTTAAACTTTCACGAGTTGACGGCTTAACGAATTATGATAACATTTTCTATATAGGTAGAGCTTTGAAAAGATTTTTTACGTAACTTGTATGCTATCTTCGTCTTTACATATTACTAGCTGTTAACAGCGAGCCTAATATATAAAATTTCTAAAATAAAAACAGCGCCATCTAGTGACAACTATGTAAACTATATTTACAAAAGACGATTAAACAGTATCCTGATTGGATCTGAAAATCCTTATAATATTGGATATCTGTGAGTGATGTCCCATCAAAATCAGTCTAGCCGTTTTAAAGTTTAGCACGAACAAACAGACAGACAGAGATATATATATACAATATATATTATGTATTATATATATAAACCTTCCTCTTGAATCACTTTATCTATTAACAAAAAAACCTTCTAAATACGTTGCGTAGTTTTAAAGATTCAAGCATACGGACGGACAGACAGACGGACAGACAGCGACAGCGACTTTGTTTTATACTATGTAATGATAATGATATGTAAGTACCGTATATGCATATGAAAGCATTTGCATTTAGTGCAAAGATGTTAATTTGAAATTTCAAGCAGACACTTAAATTTTATTTATTTGTATATATCATATTAATGGAATGTTGTACCCGCAAACGGTTTTCGCTGGCAGGGCATCATGATAAGTAGATAATGATAAGATGAGAGAGTGAGTTCAGATCAGTTAGCTCATCATGACAAATTTACCAGGAACATATCATAATGGTTTTAAAGCCTAACCGCTTGGAGCAGAACCTGACATGGTACATTGATAGCAATGGATTCATTAGTCCATTCATTAGTTATTAAACTGCTTTGCAGGCGAAATAGATGAGTCTGTGGTATGCAGACGACATACAAGTCTACCTGTGGTTGGGAATGGATATATATTCACTCACCCTTTAATTGAAATACTGCCTATAAATTAAACTGCTTAGCGAGAAAAATACATCTAAGGTATACATCTACCTCTGATTGAGAATGGAAATATATTTAGCCTACCTTTTACGTTAGGAAATTATAGCCACGCTGATTCACCTGCGGTATGCAATTTATAAAAGTAATAATATCTCAGAACAATGGGACTAGATGGCGCTGTGTACACACAGGCTTTATTATAACATCTGTAATAATTATAATATCTAAGGACAATTCACACAGCGCCATCTAGTCTCAAGTTAAGCAGAGTTAGAGCATGTGTTATGGGTACTAGACAACTGATGTATTAAATACACAGATGCTTTTTGTGTTATCTAAACCTGTCTGTCCGGGGGGAAAGGGGATTGTTAGTAATGTGGACTAATGATTCCATTACTAGCAATGTACCACTATCAGGTTGACCTCCACGCGGTTCCCCCTGGAAACCATCGTGATAAATTACAAAAGAATTTGTCACGATGGGCTAACTGACCTGACCTCATGCTCATCTTATCATCCTCCACTGGTTCCCCGCCAGTGTAAAGCGCAGGAGGGTGCACCATTCCATTATAATACAAAAAAAACCTGTCTGTCAAGAGGTTCTCAACCCAGACAGGAGTTGTTGCTCCCGGAGCTCCCGGAGATGTTGCGGTAAAGGGGTTAACCCCTAGGCCCCAATCTTCACCCCCCGCCCTATGCGAATAACCTTATGTCATATAATATGTATATGTATATATATAAATACAAATGTATGTGTCGAGCGAGGAATCGAGCCAGTGACCATCGGAAGTAAGGCAGCATGCTAAACCGCTAGACCACCGAGGCCGACAAATAAAACCATTTGTCCCGTATTCTAATTATTTCCATGCTGAATTTAATTAATATTTATTAAACAGTTTTATCCTTGACAACCATACAGAGCGGATTACTTTCACATTGTGATGATGTGGTGGATGCAATTGCGTGTGATTTACAATAAAGCTGTCACGTTTTGATCCGTATGAATATAATAAGCGTAATGATAACGATTATTATAATTACAGCATGATATTTAAGTGATTTATGAAACGTCCAATTTATTGTAAACTCATTAGAAACTTAGAACAATACTTAGTTATTCATATTAATATTGAACTGTGTCGTTTTAACATATTGATAATAGCAAATAATCATAATTACAATTACAGTATGATATTTAAGTCGCTTATGTAACGTTCAATTTCTTGTAAACTTATTACAAACTTAGACCAATAATTAGTTATTCTAGTTAATATAGAACTGTGTCATTTTAACACAATGATAATAGCAAATAACTATAATTATAATTACTGCATGATATTTAAGTCGTTTATGAAACGTCCAATTTCTTGTAAACTTATTAGAAACTTAGACCAATACTTAGTTATTCTAGTTAATGTAGAACTGTGTCGTTTTAACATATTGATAATAGCAAATAACCATAATTATTATTACAGCATGATATTTAAGTCGCTTATGTAACGTTCAATTTCTTGTAAACTTATTACAAACTTAGACCAATAATTAGGTATTCTAGTTAATATAGAACTGTGTCATTTTAACACAATGATAATAGCAAATAATCATAATTACAATTACAGCATGATATTTAAGTCGTTTATGAAACGTTCTATTTTTGTAAACTTATTACAAACTTAGACCAATACTTAATTGTTCTAGTTAATGTAGAACTGTGTCGTTTTAACACAATGATAATAGCAAATAATCATAATTACAATTACAGTATGATATTTAAGTCGCTTATGTAACGTTCAATTTCTTGTAAACTTACAATACTTAGTTAATCTAGTTAATGTAGAACTGTATCGTTTTAACACAATGATAATAGCAAATAATCATAATTACAATTACAGCATGATATTTAAGTCGTTTATGATACGTTCTATTTTTGTAAACTTATTAGAAACTTAGACTAATACTTAGTTATTCTAGTTAATGTAGAACTGTATCGTTTTAACACAATGATAATAGAAAATAACTATAATTATAATTACTGCATGATATTTAAGTCGTTTATGAAACGTCCAATTTATTGTAAATTTATTAGAAACTTAGAACAATACTTAGTGTGATTTTCTATAGAGTTATTTTCTAATGTTTAAAAAGCATTCAATAATAGTTTAGACCATTACATAATACTTTTTAATTTGATTTTAAATATTAGTATAAAATTGAAGGTAATAATTTTAGCACCGAGACAATTTATGTTTTATATTTAAAATATACATACTTTTTTATTCGACATATTTAAGTTATTATACAAATTTATAATTATAAATCAACGAACTCGTCCTCCTCTCTTTTCTTCTGTTAGTTGTGCCCAACTGGGTTTTTTTTTATAATTAATCTGCTGAATGTAAACTTAACTATCTACTCACTACCTACTGTAAAGTTATAAAGTGCAATGTATAAATAAATAATTTAATAATGTATATCAACAGTGTATTAACGGTTATTTCTGATCGTTTAAGGTGAACGGGAATCTTAATAGTTGCTCTATTGTAATGAAATAATAGCTTATCAGGTAATTCTACCAGCAGTTCAGAACTCGTACCGATTAATTGACATGCCGTAATCATGTGCATGAACACCTCAGTCTCGCCTCAGTCTTATCTATTTCGGGCATCAAGCAGCTTTCATTGGAAACTGTTTCGGATGAAGGGTAAGATATGGCAGTGAAATTACAAGGTATGAAAGTATAACATCTTAGTTCTCTTATACTAATAAATATAAAGACAATTCGTAATTATATTACACTTTTATTTAATAAATTGCAAATCTATACATTTTAGAACACATGAAATTTTCTAATGCAGTTAGTACCTAATAGTGGTAGCCGGTCTGCTCGTCGAAACTCTGCTGGGGAATGTTCTGGAAGTTGTTCGAGGATTTGGGAGCCAAGTATTGACGGCTGGCAGCGCCCGACTGGGATGAGCTCTGGTACTGCTGGCTAAAGCGACCAGATTGCGAGCCGGAGGATCCAGCTGAACCGAACTGGGGCTGGCCGTATTGAGAGCTTGGGCCGTTACCAGGAGCTAAGTACTGGTTGCTGGGACCGCTGCTGGGGGCGCCGTATTGCGAGCTTGGGGTTTGGGATCCAAACTGAGAACCAGATTGAGCTCCAAATTGGGAGTTGGACGATTGACCACCGAAGCGAGAGCTAGTTGACACGCCGCCAAAGTGGGATCCACCATCTATAAAGTATATTGACACATTTCAGGCTATGCGATAATTTCTTTTTAATTTATCAATTAAAAAAATATAACTTTTTATGGTTGTCTTTGACGGTTACGTTTTTTATGTGAGATTTTTTTACAATATAGTTACAATGAGAAAATAAGCTAACGACTCACTTTACGGCGATTGTCAAAGGTGGTATAAGTATTTTAATTAGACATAAACATCTATATAAGTAATAAAATGTAAAAAAAACTTGTCTTGTGAGACTTTAAAAATTAAGAAATTCAGTTCAGTGTCTTGCCAGTATTTAATTGAATCTGTATATTCAAAAAAAAAAATTAAAACAGAAAACTTGACGTCCATAAGCGGCTAAAATGTTCTACATGAATAAATGATTTTGGATTTAGATTTTGGTCTTGAGTTAACTGTTTCACCATTTTATTTTGAAATTGACAAGACATTATAATTTTCTTGGATGTCTAATCCATATATAAATTCTAATTTCTAAACATAGACCTTTTCGAGACAAATTGTTATAACAAAATTTGTCCAATTAGCGTTTATAAAGATAATAATGTAATAGCATCCGATTACAATTACCTTCACATGTTACGTGATACATAATACTTTAAAATTCAAGTACAAACTAACTTTGATCTTACTAATATTATAAACACGAAAGTTTTGAGTAAGGATGGATGGATGTTTGTCACACACGCAAAAACTACTACAGGGATGATAAAACTTTACAGTAATATAGTTTATATATCAGAATAACATATCAGATATCAATTATAAAGATTTTATGTCAATTGAGCGAAATATAATGTCAAGTAAGTGTAATGCAGACAAAATTGCGCGGGACCACTAATTTACAGATATATTAAAATATTTTTCACTTACTCTGGGAGCCGAATTGACCGTTGCCTCCAGATGATCCACGGTTGGGAGGAAGGTACTGGTTGGAAGTAGCGGCACCGAAAGAGCCCGACGAACCTAATCCATTGGAACCAGACGATCCGAATCCATTTGATCCAGAAGAGCCAAATCCATTTGATCCTGAAGAGCCAAATCCGCCAGCGCCGCCCGAGCCGAATCCATTGGAGCCTCCGAAAGATCCCTGAGAGCCACTGCCGAAACCGTTGGATCCTTTGCCGAAACTGTTGCCGTTGGAACCGAATCCACCCAGGCTGTTACCACCCTGGTCTGGGGGGAGGTAGGAGCGCTCTAAGTTTTCCAAACGTCCAGCAGCGCAGACTGCAACAAGACCGGCGACGATGAACTGTGGAAAGAAAGTATAAAATTATTAATGTATGCCATAGTTTACAATAATTGTAGATTATATAGGAAACAGACATAGATAATAAAAAGTGAGTCTCAGAACTCTGTTATCCCAACAATCAGATACTGATGAAAGGAAAATGTCACAAAAAAAAAATTGGGATTTTACAGTATTTATTAGATCTTTGTTGTATCTAAATAAAAATCCAAAAAAATATTACTGAAATCTAAAAAAGTAATCGAAAAATATGTTGGTCCACGTAAATTGTAATTCCACTAAACTCAATAACTTTAAGTTGAATTTCGAAAATTTTTATCTGTACATTTTTCTATGAGACATATTTATTTTAAATTTGGAATCATAGAAATTATAATTTTTTCAAATTTAATTAAATGAATTCACGTTATTAAACTATTATTATTTTATTCATAATTACCAGTTTCATTGTAGAATAATTGAAAATGGTCCAAGCTGTAACAACCAAATGTGAAGCTCACACGAAACTGTGATGCTCTGAGTCGAATTGACCTATTATATACTAACTGACCTGATCTTAATCCTGATCATCTCACGCATACGACTGACGTAATGTTTTATAGAATATAATAAACGAGCATTTTCAAGTTATGATATGCATGGTCGAGTAATTACTTGCTATATACTTTTTTTTTTAGCTACCGAACGTGATGTGTTGGCCTCGTCTGTCATATATAGGAGCAACGTACATATTCAAGGATTCATTAATTAATTGTTGTTTCATCAATCGATTTTAAACGAAAGCGTTAGAACGATATCGGCATTGTTAGACTTGAAAGAGATCGTGGTCAGCGAATCAATGCGATCCTTTGAACATTCATTCGTCAAATTTACAAATTATGTATCGATGTTTATCGATTTTGCGCAATATATACATTAATATTAAAATGCGCTTTTTTTGTGTCTGTCTGTTATTCTTTTACGCCATGGAATATAATTTTTGGTGACTCTTTCTATAGATATATATTAAACCTAGGTGTAGGACTTAGATTACTTTTTGTCATGAATATAACAGAAATAAAATATGAAGGTGTGAAAGTGGAAATGACAGTTTATACGGAAAATTAATGATTTCTCTAGTAAGAAATATAAATTTAATCTTAATTATATCTTTAATAAGAAATAAGTTTAACGATAAATACACTCCAAACACTCCGACTTCTACGCAGACGATGCCGTGAGCATTAACTAGTTTTAGTATACTTAATTGTTATAGTTTTGAGAGAATGCCACTTTTATTTGATTTATCATTGTAAATTCTAATATGAAAAACTACGTATGCCCGTGGTTTATTTGATTTATCATATGTTATTTTCATATATATACTATATTATTGAAAAACTAATTTTTCCGTGAGATAACAAAGATGATCCATCCATACTCACAAACTTTTATTAAAGTGTGAATTTATTAAAATTATGATAATTATAAATATGATTAATTCTCCACTATGTAACTGGTCAAATTCTAAATTCAAATACAAAAACATAGTTGTTATAGCTAAAACATTTTGAATTTAGAATTCGAAATCCGTATACGTAAATGCAAACCATTCTCTCAAATCTATATCCGTTGCCATTCTAAAGTCATAACATGCATTGTTGGAGCCGATGCGCTCGTCCTTATAATTTAGTTGCACGTTGTTGAAATTGTATTGTTGCAAATTAGAAACGACCTCGCATTAATTACTTATTTTATTGTAAACATTAAACAATAGAGCTTTTAAAATTGGAACGTTATTTTTAAATTAAGAACATATAAAAATGTTTTTAATAATGCAGCGCTATATCGTGCGATTTTATTTTGCCAGTTTGGTTATATAAAATTATTTGAGTTAGTAGGAACATTTTTTTTTTATATGAAACTGGTACCAATGATTTTTTGGCGTATCATATTTGTTAAATTGCTTCTAACATGGATAATTTGATGAAACTACACCTTAATTAAAACAAAAATACATGTTTAAAACTGTGCAAGATGAGTGGAAGGGGATTGTTAATATTAATCTCATTGCTAGAAATGTACCATGTCAGGCCGTCGCACATGAACACACCATAGACATCATATATCATGCTCTGGATTCTACTCATCTGTTGCCATTAAAAAGGACTAAGATGCCACGTCTTTTATCCTATAATCTCACTTATATAACCCTTCAGCCAAAACATATCTTACAAAGGAAGTTCCTTGGCAGCAAAAATCTAACAATCAAAATATCTTTATTCATGTAGGTCTATTACAGACTCTTATGATATGTCAAATCTACCAATTCGGAGTGCTTTCCAGCATATGCTACGGCATTTTGGTCAAAAGGAAATAGCCTAAACAGTGAGCGTAACCCAATCAAACCTGTATGTAGCAGCAATTTTATTTAATGTTTTCTGATAAGAACAAAATGAAAGACTAAACATCTTTATTCATGTAGATCTATTACAGACTCTTATGATATGTCAAATCTACCGTCAGTTCGGAGTGCTTTCGAGCTAAGAACTGACAAGGAACTCAGTGTTAATCTAATCTAATGGAACCTACAGTAAAGCTGAATGGATGTCCTTTCAGTGCCTATATGTATGTAAAAAAGGTTATTTCATGATTATTTTTCTTCTTTCTTCTTTTTTCTTTTTTTAGGACCCAATTACAATTCAGACCCAAGTTAGGCAAGCTATAGCTTGTGTTATGTGTACTAATTATCTATATACATGTTAAATTAAGTCTAATTGTATATACATTTTATTTTGTTTTTTATTTTTTTGTTTGGTTTTGTTTATATTGTAACTGAAAAGCAATTAATATTTTTTTTTCTATTGTGTACAAATTGTTTAATTTTTAAGGGCAGTGGCCCGTTATTGTCCATCCCAGCTCATCATAAATTGAAGAAAATACAAGTTTAGTATATTATAATGACAATCTTAATCTTGTTAGTTCATAAAGATCGTAGGTTCACGGGGAACCGCAGAAAGCAATATTAATAAAATTTAAGATCGATACTATTACGATAGTTAAATAATATACTATTTTATTGGTTTTAACTATCGTTGCAAATACAATTTTATCCGGTAGTTTAATAGTTTAAAAGCAATTTACAAGATGTTTGAAGTCATAAAAATTTTGACGATAGGCTCGCGGATTTGTTGTAGGAAATCATTAAAGTTAACATCATGATGGTAATGCTTGTGGTCTAGTGGTTTGCTACCCAGAATTACGAAGAGGTCATAAGTTCAAATGGATAATATGAAAAAAAATTAGGTAAAAGAAACGTTTATATTGATGAATCGCCTCTGCTATATTCGATTTAGATAAGCTTTCAAATTTATTTAGTTTCCCGGTGTTACCATCACCGGAGAGTTAGTTAGGAAGAGACATATTTTTTGTGTGGATTTCCAGATTGGAACATACTACCTTTGGAGTTTAATATAACCACTAGACAAAAACGTTCTGTATATGGTATTTATTACTATAATATGTTCTTCAAATGCTTTCAATAGATAAATAAATATGTCCATATTTAGATATCATAAATGAACTTTCAAATATTTTAAGATCTATAATAATGAGTCTTAAGTCTGAATCCGTGTAAAAGATAAAGTGTTTCTTAGAAAGGATGACATAAATACGCACGGTAGTTTGCTGTCCAAGTTCGTGAAAGTTCTATACTGATAAATAATTAAATACCTCATTTAACTTAACATTTGACAATCTCAGCAGTCTAAAGCTTTAGCTTTAGTACATCACACCTCAATTACGATGATCGCAGGTTTGATATTTGTAAGATTGATAAATTTGTATGTTTGAGTATATTTGTGTGTATTTGTCTGGAAAATAATAATTATTTACTTGATTTAACTTAATATTTCAAGGTATCTGTGGTCTAGCAGTTTAGTATACCGTTTACTATCAATTGTCTATTTCGATTGCTATCTCGGTACAAGGATTTCTATTTATGAGTGCGAGGCATCAAACTTGCAACCATCGGAAATATAGCGCTATGCAACCATTTGCATTTATGAGCATGTTTATTTGTATAGATCTGGGTGTTTTCTACGTAATATACGTAGAAAACTCCGACAGATATATGAATTTACAAAAAATAAATAGGTATACATTTCAGTTGCCTAGTACTCATAATAAAAGCTCTGCTTACCGTGGGACTAGATGGCGCTGTGTAATTTATTGTTATTGTTATTAATTTTAGACTTGGCTGTTTATCCCATTTCTGTTATTGATGAAACAGTAACTTAGTAACTATACGGAGTGACGGATAATTAATGGATTTTAATACTATAGTTTATCTTAGCATTAAAATTCCAAGTCGGTGCGGTTGCCTCATCTTGTGGTACAGCTAGACTCAGGAATTGGTCCATACTATGCCTGGGTCGTGCATCGACGCACGATTTGTCATCACGTGTGCCTGTGATAGGTATTTATGACAATTCTTAGAATATTAACTACGCACTTTCACGCAACTACTGCTATTATTTATTCTATGAATATTAGATGAATATTTTTGACTTGACCTTTTTTTAACGAAAATATTTTTCTCAACATCTTTCTTTTTTTGTCAAGTCAAAAGTTGTTTGTTTTTGCTTATCTCTGTAACGGCTGGACCGATTTTGACGGGACTTTCACTCGCTGATAGTTAATATTATAAGGAGTAACTTAAGCTACTTATGTTTAAGAAATTTTATTTATTTTAATAAAAAATAAAAGTTTAATTTCATGCGGACGAAGTCGTGGGTAATAGCTAATATTGTTGTACAATCGCAGCTGGATGTACTTGATAATCAAAAATAAGGGTCGGTAACTCGGATATGGATTTCCCCAGGATTTTCAGTCTTCTATAGACTATAGTTACCGTTCACCATTAGATGGTCAGTATGCTTGATTGTCCACTGGCCTTATATATAAAATTCTCGTATCACAATGTTAGTTACCATACTCCTTCGAAAGGGCTTGATCGATTCTTCTAAAATTTTATATGCATATTCAGTAGATCTGAGAATCGGCTATCATCTATTTTTCATACCTTTAAGTGATAAGGGTTGTCCACCCCTAACATTTTTTTTTATTTTTTGGACAAAATTTATTTGTGGCATAAATACATACAACCCTAAATTTTCACCCTTCAATCACCAACCCCTATTTTTTAATAGCGATTTTAATTTGTTTGGCAAAACAACGTTTGCGGAGTCAGCTAGTGTAGTATAAAAAATATGATTCACCTCAAAATCCTTAACCTAAAAACGTCATAAAAATAAAACCAGTTGTTAAGTGGCTGCTAACTGTTCCATTAACGCAATTAAAAACGTTAAGTGTAATGAGTTAAAACATAATATCGCTCTTGTATCTATATATTTTAATAATTATAGTATTTTGTATTGTACAAATTATCAGAATCCATTTTCAAATATTAAATATTATTATTATATTAATATTATTTATACAACCTCGAGGTCTAGCGGTCTAGCACACCGCTTTACGTCCAATGGTCGCTGGTTCGATT